GGCGACATCGATCTCGAGAATGGCAAGGACCATGGGCACCGGGGCGTACCATGTCGGATCGAGGGTGGGGTAGGTTCCTGCGCGAGAACGCACGAGGGAGACGAGGCGCCAGGCGGAAAGCATGAGAACACTTTGGAATATAAGTCAGCCTTCAAAGATCGTAGACGATGGGAGAGTTAGAGTTGTGAAAGAGACTTACACGCTGCCGAGAAGGAAGAGTCCGAGGACACCCTTACGCGACCTCTTGTTGGCTTCCTTGTTGAAGTAGAGCGGTAGCGGGATGGCGAAGATGATGAAGTCGAGAAGCATGTTGCTCGTCGCGTGGGCCTCATACGTCTTGATCAGATCCTCCGCCACCTGTGTTCCGAAACCCCAGCGTCCTATTGTCGGCTGGCTCCAGTCCCAGTACCCGCGGACCGGGATGCAGGGGACCCAGGCGAGGAACATGAATGCGATGCCCCACATGGACGTGAGGACGATCATGACGATGGTCAGGGTGTAGGACTTGGAACCTTTTTCAAAAGTTCGGAGATATTGGAGGAGGATGGCGATTTTGATGAACGTTGTTGACATTGGAAGGGTTCCATTGCAGATGTAGAAGATCTAGATGTGTTGTTAGAAATGAGCAAGATGTGGCATTTGATGGGAGGCGCACCTTGAGGAAGACACTCAAGTCTATTTGGAGTTCGGAGAATTTCAACAAATGCTCTCCTAAGCCATGATCGGTTGCGACGCAGGTGCCGATACTGCCTATTGATATTGATATCTGATGAAGAGGTTAACGGGTGCTGCGGCGCACGTCATGGTTTGTGAAGCTCACCATCACCAATACCACGAAGAAGTCGTCCCATCCTGCTGCCTTGACGATGAAGATGCGAGTAAACAATCTCATAAGCGCGCATAGCAAAGTGAAGATCTGTGGAAGTAAGATGTCAGCCGCCAGTAATCTCCCAAGCATTGAACGCCCACATCAATCGCGACCTACCAAGAACGATATCACGATGCCAAGCATCACACTTCGATTATTAATTGCAGGCTTCGCATCATGAAGATTGTCGGCTTTCCCAATCAACTCGATAAAAGACGTCATATCGTCGATGCCCCGGTCGAGGGGGAAAAAGCGCGACAAGGAGGGAAATGGCTAATACCACTATTGATGCATATCAAATATCCTCAAGTCCGCTCTTGTTGTTCCTCAGTCGAATCGAATATCAATCAGTATCGTTGAAAAGGGGGCGGATGAAGTCTTGTAATTGGAATCCAAGACAAGAAACAACAAAAGAAGGAGCACAAGAGTAAGTGAACTGCCAGAGACGAGGGTGTGCGAAGGCCCCGGGCCTTATGGCATCCTGGATTATGGCAACATCCGGACGTGGCTAAACAAAACGCAGATCAAGACGTGCCAGCAGACTCCCGGGATTAGCAAAATGATGAAAGCGCGGCCGCCCGGAGGCGTTGGGCTTGGTCGTACAAGCGTCCAGCGAAACGTTTCTCGGCTGGCAAGAAATGATCAACGCCAGGATGGCATTAGCCCTCCAAGGCGTTTGTCTCTCTTCTCTGTCTCTCATCCCCTCCCCCCCCTGGCTCGCTTCTGGACCTTTGTGCCCCACCAATTTCCCGAATGAGGTGGGCAAATTCTCCGGGCTGCAGCAGCGTTTGCATGTATGTCGTATTACAGCGCGTGCAAACAAAACATTGAATTGTTATGAAGTGCCATTGAAGAAACGGGGGAGATTGCTATCAATAGTAATGCCCATTCGGCTATCCCGCAATGAAAGGTCCTTCAATTACGAGGCGGGAACGACATGTCCACCGCTCTGATGAGTCTCCCTCATGTGTCTATCTAGAAACTGCCGCATGGCGAACGGGCGTTCCATTCACGCCGCGGACGCACACGCCATACGAGCTTGCACATCCCGCGTAGAACCCGGAGAGCCGGTTCCCATCCGCTTGCCCCCTGTCCCCTGTTGCCGGGAATGCTGCAAGACCCCTGCTCCATTCTGGCCCTGTGTTTAAAAAAGCGTGGCTTGCCCCAAGACTTTGGTCCGTTGCCCAGAGCTGGAATATCCACTCGACGCATGCGGGGATGGGAATGTGGCGGATGGGCAAAATACGCCGTGTTGGGATTAGGGCAATGGGAGGAAATGCCGTAGTCCTTTGCAAGACGCCCAGCAGAGGGGTCTTGTCTGTCTTCCTCTTCTCTCTTTCTTCGGGCAAAGCGAGCCCCCCACATTACCGAATGAGACATGTTTTCTTGTTCTTCAGCAGCAGCGGTTAGTAGTGCTGAGCTCGCGTTCTGGAAGCTTGCGGGTTGTGGGGTGCTGGTGAAGCTGCTGATCCGGACGCATTCGGACGGCAAGCAGTTGTCGCAAAGGTCCAATGTTGCGAAATTGTGGCTGATATGGAAGGAGATGCTCAGTTCCAGACGAGTAATCTTGACGCATGCGATGGTTCTGGTGCAACTGTTGGCTGGAGATGGACCTCGAACGTCATTGTTCAACCTCCCATCATGTCTGGGCAAGCTAACTAACGACCAACTCTTTGCCCGTCGTATCGTCCTTTTCGTTCTTTTGCCTTGCCAACCGTTTCAATTGTTTTGCAGCTTTTCTGCCCGCCCGCCCTGTTTCTTTGGCTGCACCTCTTTCATATCCCCCTTGCGAGCTTTCCCCTGAAATCCACGCAGCCCATTCCGAATTGCGGCGTCAAATGTGGCGCGAGCATTTCAACATAACTGCGGCCCGCGGCTCCAGAATGATGGCAGGTGTGCTCGCTCGGTGTGTCTAGCAGCCTCGCTTGCACGCCGGCGGCAGTGATGGACTGCCACAGATACCGGTTATCATACCGTGACAACCAAGCTTGACGTCTATTTAACCCAGTTCACCCAGGTTCTCGAAACGGACGGTGACAAGACCATGCGGTCGGGTGGCAAGCCACTGTCGTCTGGAACACAACACCTCAACGCCACGTTATTTCCCTAGGGGCGCGGTTCACGGTCTAACTGCGCGGTAGTCGTATTTGATGTGAGTTGCGAGTTGCGGCATGTAAACATGCCAGGAGACAGCCCAGGCGCTCGGTAAGTGCTGGGAAAACACGTGGCTTGTCAATCATTTTCAGACGATCTCGATCGTGAGGCACTCGTGTCTTGGCTTTGACATGATTTCTTCATTGCTAATTTGATCGCGGTCTCGTCTATTCATGCTCATTCCCTCTTTCCCTTTAACCCAACTGCCGGCCCAAAAACAACGTGCGCGCGTCTATCGCAATTCCCACGCCGTTTGCCATGCCCCTGATTCCGATGCCATTCCAAGCGTCCAAATCAGGAAATCCGCGGAGACTATTCTCGCGGTTCCCGCCCCTCGCCCAATGAGACAGGAGACTACCCTCCGTGACCGTTCCAAACAACAACAACAAGCTACCCCATCTGCTTGCTTTCTATCTAGCTGGACGCACCGAGCTCCTCCTCAAGCTTGTTCAGCTCGCTCATCAGGCTGTGCACGGCCTTCTTCTGGTCCTCACTGGCGGGGAGGTACGGCCTGCGGGGGTCGAAGAGCTTCTCCTGGCCCGCGAGGCCGGCGCGCGGCGCCGTGAACACAGAGGCGGCGTACTTGATGGTGGCGATGCCGGCCTTGGTGGCCTGCTCCGCGAGCGCGGCCTTCTGGTGCAGCGCCAGCGCCTCGGCGGTCTTACCCTCGTTGTGCAGCTTGTAGATGTGCGTCGTGACGCGAGGGAAGACGTTGGCGAAGGCGGCGATGCAGCCCGCGCTGCCGACGGCGAGGCCGCCGAGGAGGAAGTCGGACTGGCCGCCGTAGGTGGCGAACTTCTCCGGGGCGAGCTCGGCGGACAGGCGCACGATCTTGGCGACGGCACCGCAGGTGAGCTTGACGCCGACGATGCTGTCGTACTTCTTGGCGTACTTTGCGATGGTGGCGCTGTCGAGGTCGATGCCGTTGCAGACGATGGGGAAGTTGTAGATGACGATGGGGATGGGCGACTTGGTGGCGACCTCGTCGAAGAAGCGGTCGATGACGGCGGGCGTGGTCTGCTTGCCGAAGTAGGCCGGGGGCAGGACGAGGGCGGAATTGGCTCCGGCCTCGGCGGCGTCGGAGAGCAGCTCGAGGACCTGTTTGGTGGAGTGCGCGCCGCAGCCGGCCATGATGGGGAAGTCGGGGCCGGTGGCCTTGCGGGCGGTGGCGATGAGCGCCTTGCGCTCTTCGCGGGTGAGGAGGAAGGCCTCCGCGTTGGTGCCGAGGATGACGAGGCCGGCCAGGCCCGTCTTGGAGAGGTAGGAGTAGTACTTGGTCTGCGCCTCGAGGTCGAGCTCGTCCGTCTCGGGGTTGAAGAGGGTCACGGCCGGGGCCCAGACACCGTTGGGAGGCACCTTGGAGGGAGACATTGTGGTGATTTGGGGTTGGTTCTTCAATGAGGGGTATCTAGAGGGCCTATGAGATGAGATGCAGTGTTGCTGACTGACCAACACCTTGAGAGCTGTGAGAATGCTTAAGTATGTTGTGAAAATTGATTGAAACTGGTGATGAGTGAGTGATCAGGAGTCTTTATTATGAACGATTCGGGTTCGATGACCGAGGTTGTGCTCTCCCCAGAATCGGGATCGTATCCGTTGGATGACAAGAGTCAGATAACAGAGGGGTTACTATCGGATATCCGCACCGGGACCAGATCCGACTCCCCCGCCTTTGAGGCCGGTCTCGGCCGTGCATGGACAGGGGTATATCCGGCCGACGCCCGATGCTTTTTCCACGGATATTATTAACACGGGCGGCCCCCGCCCGTAGCGCACCACTCTCGTTCGCAACAGCACACATTGAGACGCTGTCACAATGTCACTTGCATGTCTGAAGAAAGTTTCGGGTTCTACAGCGCACTTTCCAGCAATCACGCAACGCATGTAACCCCGAAATTCCCCCGCTAACGGATTTCTGCAACTAACACAACACATGCACACCCCAAAAAGTCGACGATAGCTTCAAAAATGAATGCTGGGCCCTGGCCAGGGATCGAACCTGGGACCTCTTCCAAATTAACTGTTGAACGATCAACCCTAAGGAAGAATCATACCGCTAGACCACCAGGGCTGGTGATATCCGCTTGCCGATGATGGCTCACTTGGATGGCGGGGCGGGAGTGATGCCGTCATGAAGCCATGGTGGGCACGATGGGTCTGTGGCTCCGGGGCACACTTTTGCCATCACGACGCTCTGAGAGACTCAGGCGGGCGTTTGGACCTTGTTCGACTTCCTGATGAGCATCCAACACCGTCAACCGCCGACCATGGGTTTTCCTGCGAGGCATGAGTTCCTCCTCTCTGTCTCTCACTCCTCCAATGACTCAAGCAGAACGTTTTTTGCGCGCATATGACAAGAAAATTCTGAAAACAGGCACGGCAACAGAAACATGGTGTCCTTCCGGTATCGAACGCTCTGCTGGACAAATTGCGGCAATAGATAAGAGCAAGTTGCTAACAAACATAAGCTCGAACCATACATGACATGAATAAGACCAAAACGGGTTTAGAGCTTCGCGCTCATTTCTATCAGATCCTCAGCTCTCGAAAATCGAATACGGAATGCTGGCAGAAACTGCAAAGTTCGGCATATCGACAATTTCGGCGATTTTCAAATCTGCCGCAATGCTGCAGAGCATATACGCCTCTTCCCTGGTCAAGTCCCTCGTCGCAGTGAGGTGCGCGATGAGAGACCTCAACGCCTTCTTACTCGCTTCCAACAGGTCGGAGTCTATACCTAGCACAGCATAAACCGCCGGATCAGTCTCGACCTTGCCATGCACCGAGCCGCGAGTGTCGTAGTGCGGACTCGTGACATACGGCATATCCTTTCGGACGTTGAACCGTAGCGTGGCCTTCATCGGTGTCTCAATCGCCGTCCCGCAAACTTCGCCGTCGCCTTGGGCTGCATGGCCATCCCCACAGCTGAACAGAGCCCCGGGAACCTTGACTGGGAGATACAGCTTCGTTCCTTGGGTGATGTGCTTGCAATCGATATTCCCGCCGGTGTCTAGCGGGGGAATGGTCGAGAACTCGCCGTCTTCCGCTGGCGCGATACCCGCGACGCCCAGGAACGGTCGGAGCGGGATCTTGATGCCCGGCTTGAAAGTGATGAACTTGTCGGAGTTGGACCAGTGGTAGTGCTTCAGCATGAGCGTGTCCGGGAAGTCCGCGGCTAACAGACCAAAGTTGGGCATGATGCCCGTGAAGCCCCAGCCCGCTGTCTCGAGTGAGACGACCTCGACCTCGAGTACATCTCCCGGGTTTGCGCCTTCGATGTATACCGGTCCGAAGATTGGGTCAAACGTCGAGATTGGAATTTCTGAGAGATCTGAGGCTTTTGAGGTGGCTGTCACTTGGGCGCCGGACGAGTCAAGGAGATCGAAAGACACGACTTCGCCGGGGGACACAGTCAGGGCCGGCGGTGTTGCGTTGGACCATTTCAGGCGAGAGGTCGAGGGACCGATATGGTGTTTTCGCGTCATCTTTTCTCGCACAACTATGAGGGGAAATGAGAGGTAGGTGAGGAGGAGCTCAGAAAAGGCGCGATTTTGAATGACTCTGACCAGTCTGAGACGCTGGTAATGACACCGTCTCGCGGGCGCAGAAGCCCAAAGATGTCGCTTATCGCCCCTAGCGATGCGGGGTATCGCGGTCGTGACGTATCGTCGGTCCAGGACAGGCCCCTGGGTACGTTGCGTCAAAAGTGCCGGTTTGCCGTATGTTTGCCAGGAGGAATAACGGCTCAGATAAAGATAAGAGCGAATTGTTCCTGATGGGTAGTTGGGCAATTAGGTTGTTCCATTTAGCTCAAACCTTTGCCATCCAAGTCCCTGCACAGCGATATTCTCCGCATTGGATCGAGCGAACACCGAGCTTATTCCCGTCAGTGTGGTTATGCTTTTGATCTGCCTTCTGTTCGGACAACTCATGCAGGAATGAAGTTTGTACTCGCATTGATCTCAGATTGGCTTCAATCCTCATGAGATCTAGTAAATCGATGTTTTGCAGGTTCGTTGGCATGAGACGAGTAAGCCCCAAACTGTGGCTTGTCCAGCCTGTCATGAAGTGACTTGAGGGTTTTCATTTGTTGGAGATAGCGGATGCATTTTTGAAAGCCTGTAATATTTGTGCCCCATTCAACCACAACATGACTGCACCTGTGCACCAATTCCATTTTTATAATAACCTACTTACTTACTAAGATGCACCGAAGGATTGTGTGTGAACATGTCGGCCAGGCCAATCAACCAGGCCTCCGCCCGGCGGAACGGCGCGCAGGCTGAGCACAGGAACAGCTGAAAAGACTGCCCGAATCAACGTGGTTCTAATTTCGGCTCCCTGTAAGAGCCCACTTAGTTGGATGATGTCGCTCTGCAGGACAGAATGCGACGTTCATCTTTGGGAGCCTGGAGCCTTGTCTCACTCAATTGCTTGCTTACTTCTCACAGTCTGTCAAGAGTTCATCTTGACACGTACATCAACGCCTTCATCAACCGCTCGCTTGACCAATTTCGTAAGTATGCATCGCCTGCTTCAAGAGTACATCACTGATTGTCCTCGTTTCAAGGGTCCATGATCGATCCGATACCTGGCAGCAATGTGGCTCATTGACACTAACACCCTCCGTCTCGTTGGGGTCCAAGGGGATCCACAGGAGGACTACGCAATTCTTTCTCACACCTGGGGCGCGGACGAAGTCACCTTCTCCGCCTATCAAGCCTTGAACGCGGCGACTCAGAATGGATCATTTCCTGCGCTCGAAGACATCGGCGGCCAAATTGGCGTCACAATTACAGCCGGCTACCGCAAGATCAAAAACTCGGCAGAATTAGCCAGGAAACAGAAACTTAAGTACATATGGGTTGACACCTGCTGCATCGACAAAACAAGCAGCGCCGAACTGTCCGAGTCCATCAACTCCATGTACCGATGGTACCAGAAGGCTAAAGTCTGCTACGCGTTTCTCGAAGACGTTAAACCAGTGAGCCTAAGCGACCCTTTCGGCAAGAATTCTAGCTTCAGAAAGAGCCGCTGGTTTACCCGTGGTTGGACCCTACAAGAGCTGATAGCTCCTGCGACCGTCCAATTTTACGCCCAGGACTGGTCTTTCATCAACGCGAAGCAGGCTGGAGACGACGCGTTTCGTGGGCTCTTAACCCAAATCACCGGCATCAACGAGTCGCTGCTTGCCGGGAAGACGTTGCTCTCGGATGTGAGTGTGGCGAACAGGATGCAATGGGCGGCTCTCAGACAAACGACAAGAATTGAGGACATGGCGTACTGCCTGCTTGGTCTGTTCAACGTCAATATGCCGCTGCTCTATGGCGAGGGCATGCGGGCCTTCACCCGACTCCAGGAAGAGATTCTGAAGGAAACAGACGACCAGTCAGTTTTCCTTTGGGGTATCCCGCCAGGCGAGACATCAGAGGGCGATGCACTCTACGGGCTGTTAGCACCATCGCCTCATGCGTTCTGTCAGCTGGACCTCGATCGGGTCCGTCCTCTCCCACCATCTGAGGTGCAAGAGAGCACGCCAGCGACCGTGACCAGCCAAGGACTTCGAACAAGTCTGCTCCTCTTTCCTACTGAGCCCGAGTCGGACGACTACTACGCGATGCTGGATTGTGTCGCCTCGAAGGCTGACGGGGTAGCTGTGGACTGGAATCCGGGAATTATGGTGAGGAGATTATGGGGCGATCAATTTGCTCGAATCACTTCTTCGAAAGGCTCCGTCGTGTTGTTTCCCGAGGACAGCTTCGACGAAAAGAAGGGGAAATTCGAAAACGTCTACGTCAGACAGAATCCTTTTTACGCCCTGCCTGAGGTGACGATCAAGTCACGAAGCCGGCGCGGCGATAATCTGACGCCAGGATATCTGGGTTTCAAGGTGTCCGAGGCATATCCGCCAGATCGATGGGACTCAAGCCTCTCAGTCATCAGACCCAAGGAACCACAATCAGGACGCCCATTCGTTGTCCTTCGATTTGCTGCAGATGACCGGAGTCCAATTCCCACGGTTGACCTTGCCATCGGACTTCGTCGCATCCAAAAACAGTGGGAACTCTGCTACGAGAAGCATCCATCTGGCGGCGACCAACTCCAAAGGATATATCAGAATCTTGTAAGAAAGGATATCACCACAGACCCGGCGGCATCAAGCTCTCGCGGACTCGGATTTGTCAACATCGCCGTCAAAGCGACGCAACGCAGAGGTCGGCGCTTCATCCAGCTAGAACTCTCCGGCGCGGTGCAACTCGACTCCAAATCCATCCAAAACGCCACCGTCTCAAGAGAGATAAGACGCACCCTCTCGGACGAGATATCGGAAATCACCCGAACATGCTGCGTCCCGCAGAAGGTCGCATACATCCTGCCAAAAGAGGCCCGGATGGTTGAGGCCGTCAGGACCAAGTCGCCGGACATGAAGCCCTCGCCGGGGTACTACGGCCTGGGCACCATGATCAACGACGTCGAGGTCGACGAGAGCAAGCCGTACGCCAACATGATCCGTGCTGTGCGTGCCAAGCGCGAAATGAAGATCAAGTCCCTAGTTTCCAAAGATCGCAGCCTTCTCGAGTGTGAGACGGAGGAGTTCGACCGCTTTAGACCGGTACACTGGGCAGCGGGCATTGGCTCGCAATCTGTGATGAAGACGCTGATCAAGCTTGGCGCCGACCAGACCAGTCTGACTGGAAGCGGGCTGATGGCGATTCACGTGGCTGTTTTGAATGGTCATTTCAATCTGGTGGCCTATCTGTTGGAGGAAGAAGCATGCCTCCAGCCGCGAACGACGCCGGATTGCCTACACAGATTCTTGACCGATAGGCAAGAATCTGTGATGCATGTTCTCGTTTCGCCCGTCTCCGTCGGACTTCACATGCAACGGATACAGAAGATCATCGAAAACATAAAGGAGGAGATGGGAGGAACACATGCTTTCGCCCATAGAAATTGGCTGGGTGAAACTCCTCTCCATCTGGCTGCTGCGACGGGCGAAGAGTTTCCTCTCAAGTACTTGATGGACGTCGCAGGACACCCTGACGCCCACCAAAGAGTAGACAGGTTCGG